AGACAGAGCCTGAAGCTACCCGAGTGCTGTGGCATCACAGCTCACAGCAACCTCCAACTCCTGGGCTCAAGCGAGTCTCCTGCCTCTGCCTTCCAAGTGGCTGGGACCACAGGCACCCACCACAACGCCAGGCTATGTTTTTGGTTGCAGCCATCATTGTTGTTTGGCAGGTTTGGACTGGATTCAAACCCGCCACCTTAGGTGTATGTGGCTGGCGCCTTAGCCACTTGAGCCATAGGCGCCGAGCCAACCTTTCTTCTCTTTTCAAATCTTTCTTTTCTTTCCTTATGTCTAAGTTCCTCTAGAATTAAGTTGTTTTAATTTTATTTTTGAGGTGTTTATTGCAAGTGAATAGGACTATATCTCATTTTTGTATATTGATCTTTTTTTATTAAATCATAGTTGTGTACATTAATGCAATCATGGGGTACAATGTGCTGCTTTTATATACAATTTGAAATAATTTCATCAAACTGGTTAACATAGCCTTGACAGCATTTTCTTAGATATTATGTTAAGATATTTATATTCTACACTTAGTAAATTTCACATGTACCCTTATAAGATGCACCTGTATATTAATCTTGTATCCTAAAACCTTGTTGAACTCATTTATTAATAGTTTTTCTTGTGTGTGGAGTCTTTAGGATTTTCTATATGCAAGATCATATCATCTGTTAATAGAGTTAGTTTTACTCCTCCTTTCCAAGCTGAGTGCCTTTTCTCTTTCTTGCCTAATTGACCACGTTAGAATTTCTAGCACAGTGTCAAATAGAATTAGTGAGCATAGACATGCTTATTTTTTCCCCAGTCCTAGTCTTTCACCAGTAAACAGGATGTTAGCTATGGACTTCTTGTAAATGCCCTTTAAAAGATAGAGGAAGCGCCTCTAACTCCTTGTTTGTCGAATTTTTTTTTTTTTTCATGAAAGAGTGATTTCTGTCATGTTTTCTTTTGCATCTGTTGCTGTATCATGTGGGTTTTGCCCTATAGTCTGTTAATATGTTGTATTTTCATTGATTGATTTTCATATATTGGATCACCCTCACATTCCTCAGATAAGTCTTGCTTGATCATAGAGTATAATCTTTTTCATAGGTTAGCTGGATTTGGTTTGGTAGGATTTTGCTTAGGATTTTTAATCTATATTCATAAGAGATATCTGTAGTTTTCTTGTGATCTTTGTCTCAATTTGGTATCAAGGTAGTAGTGGGCTCATAGAATGAGTTGGATAATGTTCCCTTCTCTTCTATTTTATGTAAAAGGCTGAAATATCAGTGTTAATTCTTCTTTACAAGTTTGATAGAATATACTAGTGAAGCCATCTATCTGGTCTTGGACTTTTATTTTGTGGATTTTATTTTTTTTTATCACTGCAGGTTGAGTATCCTTTATCTGAAGTGCTTGGAACTAGAAGTGTTTTGGATTTTGGATTGGGGGGGCGATTTTGGAATATTTGTCTTATATTTATCTATTGAGAATCCCAAATCCAGAAATAAAAAGCCTGAAATAGTCCACTGAGCACTTCTTTTGAGAGCTGTGTCAATACACAAAAAGGTTCAGATTTTCAGAGCACTTCAGAGTTTTGGATTTGGGCTGCTCAACCTATAATTGGAATCATATAAGTTGGTCATTGATTGGTAGCTAAAGGTTTGTCAGTTTTGTTATGTTTTAAAAGAATCTTGAAACCTTTGGTTTTGTTGATTTTTCTCTATTGTTTTTCTACTCTTTATTTCACTTATTTCTGCTACACTCTTTTTTTATTTCCTTTCTTGTGCTTGTTTTGGGTTTAGTTTACTGCTTTTTTCCCTAGTTTGTCATGGTGGATATTTAGATTATTGATCTGTGATCTCTCTTATTTTAGTATTGGTGTTTACAGCTATAAATTTCTCTGTAAGCACTACTTTTGCTGGCTCCTATAACCATGTTTTTCTTCTTTGCCTTTCAAGGAAAGATGTTTTTCCCTTGTTTTTGAGCTTGCTTGAACAATATGAAATTGCTGATACTCAGTCATTTTCTACAGAAAGAAGTGGTAATTTCCTATGTTTCATCCTAACCTGAATCATTCTCCCAAACATTTCATTCCCTTCCATTGCTGCCTGTATTATCTTTATGTTTACGATCTAAGAAAACAAGCTCAAAAAGGATAATGGGACTTGTCCATTATCATAGGACTGATGTGTCAGAATAGAACTGAAACATATTGAAGCCCTGCTTATCCTGGACTAGTGTTTACGAGGGGCTTTTGATTTGATTAAGGGACAAGGGCACATGAAAATAATTCACATCTGGCCCCTGATAATGGTATGTCCCAGAGTGTTAGTGAAAACTCATAAATGGTTAATGTTCAGGTCATTGTGTTACTGCTGTTGCTTATGCCTTCAAACATTTACTTAGTCCCTGCTCTGTGCCAGGCACTCAGTGAGTTGAGAGTGATGGGGAGGAAAGAGCAAGAAAGAGGGTGAGGGGGAAATGGGAACACAGCTGCGTACCTACTCAGAAGTAGCTTGTGGTCCAGAGAAGGGGGACAGATGAATCATTAATTGAGATACAAAAGGATACGTTATACTATAGATAAGCCCCAATGAGAGAGGTACTTAACCACTTAGAAAGGAGAGCCAGGAAGACCAGTCAAGAAAAATTTCTGGTGGTTTAGCTTGCATCTTGAAGAAGCATTTTGGGTAGAGAAGGCAGGGAGAGAAGATTTTAGTTAGGGGGAGAGGGTATGCAGAGAGGCACAGAGATAGGTCACGTGTGTTTAGAATGTAGAGTGTACATTGGGCAAGAAGTGAGACTGGGCAGTAGCGCAGGGGGTAGGTTATGAAGGGTATTCTATCCAAGGGCAAGAAGTTGGGTTTTCACTTTGTATGAAGATTTTTAGAAAGAGGCCTTTGAATTGTTTGTCCTAGGTGGGTTCGGAAGTCAGCTCCTCTCTTTTGCCATATCTAGTAGCAATTCTTTCTTCACTAGTAAAATATTCCTTTTTGTTTTTTTTGACTCACAGTTCACTGAGACATTTTTGGTGGAGAGGGACAAACAATCCAAATGGAGTGGAATTCCACAGTTGCTCCTTAAGCTGTATGCCACCAGCCACCTCCATAGTGACTTCGTTGAGTGCCAAAACATCCTCAAGGTAATTCTTAAGGGCCTGGTAGGGGCTGTATTCAGGGCCTCCTGGTGACACAAGCTGTTTGCTTTTTATTTTCCCTTCTGTCTGCTTTTTCAAAATAGCCTATTTTTATTGTGTGAGCTGTAGAAAATTTGAGTTCAGAAAAAGTTCAAAGAAGAAAATAAAAATCACCTGTAATTCCACCATCCAGAGGTAATCACTTTTAGGTTCCCAGTGTGTATCCTTCTGAGCTATATTCATGCTTTATTTTGTGGCAGTGCTTGCTTTATTAATTTGTGTTCTAGGGTTGGGATAACATTCTAGACAGTGGTTCTCAACCTTCCTAATGCCATAGCCCTTTAATATAGTTCCTGTGAGTCACGACTTACAGGTTGAGAACTGCTGATTTAAAAGATCCCCTATTACCGAAGGCTCATGGAAAGGGCCTTCTGGTTGAAACTTACGATTAACATAAGATTGAAGGGACCAAGTTGATAGTTGGGAAATGGGTTGAAAAACACAAACACATTATGCCAGGGTAGGTGTTCCCAAACTGGAGTGTGTATCAGAATCACCTGGAGGGCTTGGTAAAGCACAGATGCTAGGTCTTACAAAAATTTCTGATTCAGGAGGTGTGGCATTACCTTCAGTAGGTGTGGCTGGCCCCACATTTGAATTTAGAGCCACCAGCTTGGCTTAGCACCTGTGGCTCAAGAGGCTAAGGCACCAGCCACATACACCTGAGCTGGTGGGTTCAAATCCAGCCCGGGTCCACCAAACAACAATGATGGCTGCAACCAAAAAATAGTCGGGTGTTGTGGTGGGCGCCTATAGTCCCAGCTACTTGGGAGGCAAAGACAGGAGACTCCCTTGAGCCCAGGAGTTGGAGGTTGCTGTGAGCTATGATGCCAATAGCACT